GACGCATGACGGTCCTTCAACTAGCTCAGTGACGCGCTGTTGCTTTCTTGGCCTGAGCTCGTGATCTTCCGCATCCGCTTCGCCTATTCGGCGTTTCTTGCTGGTGGGAGTAGCACGGCCTTCAGAATTTTTACTTGGACCCGACCTCGAAGCTTTCTTTCGAGACCATCCATGGCCGCGTCGCTTTCGGGCCTTCGACTTGGTCAGAGGCGGGCAAGGGATATCTAGGCCTTATGTAAGTTCAATATGACAGTTTCGTACGGTGGTCCAATTCACCTTCGCAATGGTTCTGTGATTCTTCTGTGGAAAGGCCAGAGCCTTGTGGTTCTCGGCTCTCAAATGCCTCAGCTGAATAAATATTTAAATGAGGGACCAAGATATAGGATAGGATTGGAAGCTTACCATTTCTTTCACTGTTTGCTTCTGAGACTTGCGCAGCTTGCGCTGTCTGTAGGTCAGAGAACCTAGCTCCTGCCGAGGAGGACTGGTCCTCTCTGATGATGTTTAGTTGAAGGGCGCCGTGGCTACCCGTGTTGGTGCTAAAGGCATTGGCATAGTCGTCGACGGAACCCTCAGCTGCGTCATCAAAGACAGGAGTACTCCTTCCAGTGATTGCCTGCGTGTTGTTTCTCGAGACGCCGAGAGCCGAACGCCTTGGCTGTGCCAACATCTCATTGCTATCAGCTTCATTGATTCTAGTTTCGGCGGCTGGAAGTCGCTTCATCATTCCTCGAGTGAAGACCATTATTCTTGATGCTGCAGATGCTGCGTTTGACGATGGGAGCGCGGGTCTTGGAGAGTTTCTGGTGGTCGGGGGGCAGCGGGGGAAGTTGACTTGTTGAAATTGAGAGCCACGCTCTTTATATGCCCTCACAATAGGGATTACCTCATCAAGACACATCACTCCAGACCTAACTGTTTTTGTTCATCATTGTCTTTTATGACTCGTTAACACCTTAATTTCAAGGGCGGTTATTACCGAGCCACGATCGATGAGGATTGAAGGGAAAGCAGTGTAATTTTTTGACGTTCATGACTTGGTTCTATTTTCCTTGACTTCTTTTCTGGAAGTATCTTATACTTCTCCCCAGCCCTGTGGAGAAGGATGGTGAAGAGGTTCGAGATTGATGAGATGGGATTGGATGGATCTTGCATCACTCTTGTTCTTGCGTAGCTGAACTATCGAGGCTGTTTTGCTTCTGGTCAGGAGATAGTGTTGGTAGGTTCGGCCCCAAGTAACCTGCTCGCCCCGTGAATATGACTTCTTGAATGACCTGCAGCCATGATGCTCAAATATCGTACAACAATTATTTATCGTGGTTCTACCCGTAAGCTGACCTGTTTTTTATTGTTAAAAAAACTCCGTTTTATGTTGAAGAGTTTGTCAATACCTGCTTGTGAATGATGTGGATGGCCTTGATTACCTCTCACGAGCATAACTCCCATTTTTCAAATCAAACAGGAACATAGAACATTTCCATCATGGATTAAGCGCAACGCTTTGGCCACGCGTCTTGGCACTCAATCCCTTCCCTATTTTCTTGAAAACTAAGAACCCCCCCCCCGGGCCTAATTCCTCCTCTGTCCTTGAATCCATACTTCTCTTTTCATATCTGACACTTTCTGCCCGTAGGTCGGTGATGACCTCCTCGGCGGAGAATGTGAAGGGACTGGACAGGAAAGCGGGACCAGTGCAACTCACGGGCATAACGTTCGTTCTATATTTAGAAGTTAGAAGTAAGAAGTAGGTGGCTCAAAAAAGTGGGAAATAGAACCTTATTTCCTCCCAAAATGTAGCATGCCGTTGTTTTATACATTGCGATATGTTGAATAGTGATGTAACAGATAAGTGTGCTCATGTACATTGTTAATGCTTATTTGATGAATAATTCTCGAGTTATGCTTAAACTAGTCAGGTCTAGTTTAACTTAGTTTCATTCTGCCAAATACTAATATTGCTCTGTTTTTCTCTGAAATCAATGTCAAGCCTAAAAAGACAGCGAGATGAACGCCGTTATTGTAACAAAATTTCTGCATGCATCCCTTGCTTGTACCTTGATTTACCTGTATTGCATCAGGACGTAATATGTCAACAAGTACTGCAGGACTAGTGCAGGCTCAGAAAATTGGCAACAAGACAGACCCGATCGGATTGAAATTTCGGATTTCGTCGTCCACCCGTCAGATGTTCAAGATAGACAGAGTAAAGGTAATACAGTTACATGACGTCATTTGTAAGGGATTCCCAGACCATGACCAGAAGTTACATATCAGATGTCCTTCAGCTAACTAACCTTTATACATTGAGAAGAATGGCATATAGTCTGTGCAATTATTGCAAGGACCCATTTCACACGCCAGACTTGATGATATCCGCTGCTTTCTCCGCAACACCATAAAGCGTCTCACTTGGATGGGCACTAATGTGGAGAGGAAGTATACTTGCATCCACGACGCGTAGGTTCACCGTATCGTAGACGCGAAGCTTGCCATCCACGACCCCTCCCAAATCACGCCGCATCATCGCCGCAGAACCAATCTCATGAAACACTGACGCAAATTCGTCGTGAATCCACGAATGCCATGCATTATCTGCACCACCGTTTCTATCGTCAGGAACTACATCCATTCCAGGATCGGTCTCTCCAGATGAGATGGACGCGAACGCTGGATGATTAAGCACCTTCCGGCCAACTCGGGTTCCGGCTGTCTGGACGGCGAGGTCATAATCGACATCGAAATAGTTCACTGTAACCTTCGGTTTTGTGAAGACACTTGTGTCCGTAATGGTGATATTGCCGCGGCTGAACGGAAGTATGTTCCACAGGGTAGTGTTGATGCCGCTATCGAGTATTGTCAGGTGAAGATCGGGATAGTGTAAGTATTCGAATTTACCTGGAATTGCCGATCCCAAGGTAAATTTCACAAACAGGAGCTAGATAGGGGGTTCAACGCTTCGGCGCGCACTTCACGACGATCCGCTTACCATGATGATTCGCAATCAGGTCAGCTTGGATGCTAAATATCGTAGTAAGCGCGTCAGCATTCAATCCATTGACTGCTTGACTTTGTGCCCAAGACGGATATTGAGTCAAGACGTATCTAGCAATGTCGTCACCCGTCACACTTCCATTTGTGCCTGCACCTTCAGAGAAGAGCTCATGAATATTCAAGAACGCAATTGTAAACTCGGGCCCTGTGCCGCCTGCGTCAAAAGAAGGTTGTGTAGAATGCACGATATTGCTTGCTGTTCGATCCTGGAAGTTTCGCCCGACAGTCGGCAGATTGACCCTCACATCAATTCCAAGTGGATCGAGGACAGATGGGTCGCCAATCCCGGATAGCTGAAGTAACT